CAATCTGATCTTCCCCCACCACGTTCCACAGATGTTGCTTCCGTCAACTCGACAGAGGGGTTCTTGCTTACCCTTGTTCAGGCTTGAAACCCACTTTGACAAGGAGGTGCAAGACATGAAAGGTTTGCCTCTGCATCTGTTTGCAGTGTCTGCACCCCCGTATAAACTGCTCGCAAGCAAGCTGCAACTACAACCAGCGAAGTGCGTGCCCATCTGGTGACGAAAACTTACGAGGCTCAATGAGCTGAACGCTTCAAAGCCCAAATCCTAAGCCGCGAAACTCCTGCAGCCTGACATCGATCTAATGCATCGGCAATCGACGCATATTTCTGTGAAACTGCCAACACAGAAGCATCATCGCTAGGCAAAGCGGTCGAGGTTGCCCGTCTGCTCTTCAAGGGCCTGCGCCGAAAAACCATAGTTTTGCGAAATGGGAGGCCTGAATGATTGAAGCACATGTGATAAAATATGTCCCCGGATGTGTGGCAGCCTGCAAACCTGGCCGCTGGCTAAGACTAAGAGATGCAGTATGCACCCCGCCCTGGGTTTGAACGCAGCTTGCTGGTGCCAGGGTCGAGGATTCTCGAGCACAACACTATGTGGGACCACAGTGGGGTGCTCCCAAAATCATCAACGGTCACTGCGCGGGTGCGAGCAATGACGAGGAGAAATGTGCTCAACGTGGCGACTGTGTGCGCGTGCACGAACACCAACCGGGCGCTGTGCCTGTGCGCGGGGTGCGCGGCCGACGTGTGCACACGTCTGCAAAGAAAGCATTGAAACCCCACATGTTCCATGAGACTTGAGCACATGCGCGTGCATCGAGCACATATCAAGTCCACAAATATTCTTCAAGACGCAGGGTAGATCTCCGCTGACACCTATATTCAGCACAACACAATGCACTGGCCTCGTGCACAGCGAAGTTCAGCATCTCTGAACAGAATGCATCGTTCCTGTCGGAGCGTAGCGCACGATGGTAATACTCAATGGCCTGCCAGGCAGACGTATTTGGGGTGGGCGAGCACAAAAGGCGTCCAGCAATGGTACTGCAGGATGACAACGATTCTAGGCTGTCAAAGAGGTCAAGCTAACACGTGGTACACTCTGACAGAAATGCCGGCACCCAGATGCCCAGATCTCTTTTCCGCTCTCTCTTTGAATTTGCTTCCCGGCATTTGCAGCACTTAAATAGCCAAGCTGCTATCTCGTGTGCTTGCCAAAAGGTCTTTTGGCCAGACGCTGAATGTGCAGAAAGCAGCACTGTAAAGTTCATAAATTGCGCGCAGGTGTGCGGCAAAGCCCGAACCTGAATGGCAACCTTCTGCACAAGTCTGCACAAGCCCTTCTTTTGACAACTCAAGTGGATTTACGTGAATGATTGTGCCCTGCGTGATGTCTGGTTGCGATACTTTGGGTTTGCTGCAGATCGTTCTGCGGGCACTCCAGGGGCATTCTTACGGAAACCCTTGCTAGACGGCACCGTGGCAAGCACTGAGTTGCAGAAGAAAACTGGAAAGAAAGATGGGCGCCGCCCTTGCTTGTCACACGCCGGGGTGATGACAGGGTGTGAAAAATCTGAATGTCTTGTGGTGAACGTAGCTTGCTCAAGGTGACAGCGCTCCTCCCAATCAGTGGAGGCCCAAATCTCCCCCAAGTAAGCTGAACCAATGATTTGGGTCTTGACGTTCTTGAAAGTAAAGTTGAATGCGTGACAGGCTGCATCGGAGCAGCAAGGGCTCCCATCTAGAGTTCGCCGCCGTTCATATCGCTCATGTCTCTCAGACAACGTTCCAAGGTTGTTATCCACTTTGCAACAAGCAATGCAACAAGCACAATCAAAGGGCCCAAAGCTATTGAAAATCTCCAATGTTGCCAACAATATGCTATTTCACCAGGCACCCTCCGGCGGACCGGCATTCGGATCTCTGGCCATGAGCGGGCAGTGCTTGTGCATCTATTCCGAGGACCTGTTCAGTCTGGGAACGAAATAGACTGGGCCGCACATGCTGTTGAGCCCAGGTGTGCCCAGTCTCCATGCAAGCCGTTTTCAAAGAACGAATTTGAAGGAAAGCATTGACAAGACGACATCCAATGCCAAATCGGCCCTCAGAACCCTGTAACCAGCCCTACACCTTAAGTGCTAGTGCTTCCACAGCCTATTCCCCAGTGCAATCATAATCCGCGGCAACTCAAATTCTAGTCTGTTGGAGTTCAGCCCACATGACTAGCAAACTCTCAGTCGTTTTTGGAAGCCCAGCCGCTTTCGGGCACGTGCCATCTATGCAGACCCGAATGCCACAACACATAGGACGCCATCTTTTGTGTGCACGTGTGCCTGTACAAACGTTGATGAAGCGCGCAAACGCGATTGACAGAGGAAACGGCAAGTTAAGAGCCATGTGCTCAGTGAAGATCTCGGCAACCTGGGATTCATACTAGTGTCACCTTTGCGCGGCACTTGCGCGCAGCGCAGTGGAAATCACTTGGCGGCGCAAGCCATAGAGCTCCGAAGCGAAGCGATGTGAGTTGCCTTTTCGGCCGGCAAAGAACGCAACTTGACTTCTTCGACAAGACGGGCCACAAGCAATCATGTGACGTCTCCGCGTGTGCCCAAGGTCAACGTTATCTCTTGTTCCGACATGTTGTTCGCTTGAAAAACATCAAACGCAAAGATTCGGGAGTGGAGTCGTGGTTAGTTAACCTCAATGTGGGATGAACTTGGCTTGGTTGAGGGCGCTGTGAGCTTGTTCCTGTCCACTGCTTTTTATCGTTTTGGCTAGCACACACCAATAACTCATCACCTGTTTGTAAACCAAGTCAACTCATCATACTTATTTACTTACTTACTTACTTACTTACTTACTTCTACCATGTTTTAGGCTTGTGTCCATGGAAGGATGCTTCTGGGCATTCCAGTTGCGGAAGGTGTTGCATTAAGCTTGGGCCACATCGAGCACATATTGCGAGGTACCCTGTTTATTCTCAAAAAACTACTCTCCAAAAAATCCGCTGCAGGCCCCTGAGGCCATAGACCACGGCAATTGCGCAGTCACCGCAAGCGAGTGAGCTTCAGCGTGCCACTTGTACGGTGGTGCTCCTCCAGTCCTGTTCCTTGCCTGGGGCTGCAGGATCGACCTAAAACTGACAAACGGAAGGCTTAAGGCACTCAGGCACTTATAGCTAATCGCAATAACAGGCTGTAGACAGCGCAGGCGGCATGGAGAAGGTCTGGGTCGATTAGAATAGATTGGTAAACCTCGGAATCCCAGGTCCCGACTATTGCATCGGATCTTCGAAGTGACGCGACTTGCAAGACTCTGCAAGACTCGGGACTCGGGCGCCCCCAGAGAGTCTACGATGCTCCACGGCGTAACGCACCACTCGGCATCAGACTGTCGAGCGCGCAGCAAGACTTCTGAAAATGCCTTCAGCAGCAGTCACAGCACGCGTGCTGCACTCAGCCAGAATGCCATGTGTTGTCGTGCGCTTTGATAGACTTGGATCATGACGGGGCTTCGTGAAAGGAGAAAATACTTGACATTCTGCTTCAGTGCTGTGCAAAAGCTGTCCTTGTCCTTGCCTCATGCAGCGGTCGGTTCAGACAGCCTTTTTGCCAGCTCCGATAGAGCAACAAAAGCATTTAGGTTCCGATAAGCAAGTTGGTAGCAGAAAGCTATAAAGTCATGACGCCACACTGCATCGAATCCCCAACTACGACTGACTCAAGATCCTAAATAGAACCTCTTTCTGAAGGTTGTTAAACCGCCAGCTGACCCTGCGGTAGTTGAATGGGCAGTTACCTAAACCAAAAACTGCTGCAAGAACCCCAAAACCCCACGCTTGGACAGATTTAGGTTTTCTCGAGCAGACCATTCGAGGGAGGTTGACTGCTGAAGAGGCTGTCTGGATCATCTTGCGCCCTGCTTCCCACCACCTCCGCCTCCAGCATCGGGCCTTGTTGGATGTGCTTAGAAGTTATAGGTTTTCGAAAAGTTTTAGGTCTTGGAGACTCGCACCCTTGATATCAACCTGCTATCATCCCTATTCAGGACTGTTAGTATAAGGGGGAACATCCCGAATCAGAGGGTTTAAGGGAAGTTGTAGGGCTTATGCGGCAGCCGCTTACTAACTTTCAGCAATGACTTTGCCTTTCAAACTTTCTTGTCAGGTTTCCAGAAAGTTTTGAAGTTTGGTGTTTCTTTTTGTTGCACTTCTTATCAGTTGCTTGGTTAAAGATGCAACTTTAACTTTTTGAACTATCATCAAAACATCTGAAGATATGTGCTGGAAGCTTAAGGAATGCAAGCTTAACCAACAAAAGCATGAACCTTAGGTTAAAAGCAGACATGTCAATGATTTAACATTTGAAATGGTTTTCTGCCTGCAACAACAATCTGATATCTAGACTTTCAAAGCTTTGTCTTGTTTATGTTCAGCACTTGCAGCAAAAAAGAGCACCAAACACGTTTTCCGGTTTTTCACCAGCGTGTGTGGCAGAAATTGATGTGTGTGTGTGTTGCCAAGAAGATGTCAGAGAGATGCCGTGCCATGGAAGTAAACTCTGAACTCCCACTGCCCTCTCAAGTTTAAAGATGCGGTGCAGTCCAAAGGGCCTTTGGGAGATTCTACCACCCCTCTGGTAACACCATGGGTGTACATCGAGTGCGCAGGGGTGCATAGGATGATGCGGGGGAGGGTGGGGGGGCTTCTAAGTTGCCGCAATGTCTTGTTGAGACGGTACTTGCGGGCAGGCTTTGCCTGAAGGATCAACACGACTGAATGATAGAGCCGAAAAAGTCGGAAACGAATTGGGCTTCCGGACAAGGCAGTTGATGATTTCATACCTGCTTCTTTCAAGAATCGGACCTCTCGGCTGCTGAACTATGTGCTGTGGCTTTGATAGAGTATCTGAATATCTGCCATCTTCTGGAATATTGAATATATGTAGAACTTAGTAGATGCTCATAACGCTGAACTCGAACAACATTTGTGAGTTCTTAGTAAGCAGGAAACCCCTCATACACTTTGCGACCGAGCTGCACAATGTCCCGGTAGATCTTGATGGCGTTCTGGCGATGCTCCGTGAATGCTGAAGGGAAGAACTCCGGAAAGTTCTTCTGGATGAAAGAGAACCTTGGCGCTCATAAAGAAGCAAATATCCCCTAAACATGTCAGGTCCTCCTCGCATGTTCCATGCCAAGAGCTGTTTAAGAGCACCGGTCGCTTACCGGCACAGTGTTAGACAAAGCAAGGTGAAAAGGGCAAAGCCTCGGCTCAAAAACAGAGCACTGGCGCTGTTTCACCATGAAGCATGTGCAACGTTGCACTCAGTGTATGTGAAACCTTTGCTCGACCCTTCTGCTTCTTTTTCTCGCTTTTGGGCCCCTGTTTCCACCCAGTCCAATCCAGGCAACACCAGCACGTGCCCAACGGGCGACAGCGGGATGATGAGGATGATCAGGAAGGGAATCCTTGGTGAACATGGCTTACACATCCAGCGACGGGTCGTAAATGTAAATGCCACATGAAACCTTTTCGCAACACTTGTCAATGGAAACCTAGATCCGAACGAAGTGCGCTGTGGCATTCCCAATTCCTTCCGTGACTTCCGTGTCTTGATTTGCGCGGCCTTCAGGGCAATGGCGATCAGAGGCACACCCCTCAGCCCTCGACCCTGAAGTGTCAATTGGCAAGGAAAGAACTAAAGAACCAACGAATAACAAATCCAACCCTTTCCTCCTGATATACGAGTACATGCCCAGCGGCAGGGTCAGGACATCCTTCACAGTCCTTTGGTTGGACAACTCCAGCCCTCACGTGGGGCCCCATGTCATCTGAATCACTGTTTCTTAGAATGGCAAAAGCTTCAACAAATCTCCAGATCTTCTCCAGACACCCAAGCAGTCCGGTGTAACGCCCAAAGCTTGCCGGCATCGACGATTCGGAGAAGATGCAAAACGAGGTGCGTGCGTACCACCAGGAGTAGAACAGACCCTTGCGCAATCAGCAAACCGATAGACACGATTTTTGGCGGTCGAGAGCATTCTCGAGCATGCAGATGCCGATCGTGCAAGAGGGCTGACGTTGGAGCAGTGATCGAATGGCGACGGCAGATCGCTCACAGGAGCAAGACCCAAAAGCGCATTTCATGAGGATCATGCGCACAGGACAGAGGCGTGGAACGCGCACTGAACGTAAGCGCCCGAAAGCAAGGACTCTTCCAGCTTCACGAGGTGCGCTCAGGACGTAGACGGGAGCCATTGTGAAGCCACACAAGTGCGACTCACTTCGCGAGGAGAGTGATCACGGACTGCGGGCGCGAGAGAGCGCGGTCCAATGCCCCGAAAGCTCACGTAGAAGACAGTTGACTGACGGGGAAAAACAATAAAACGTCTGACAGTGAACACGAGACCGAGGCGGGAACCATGTTATGACGCAGACTTGGGCTCAGTTTAAGGACACAAACCTGCAACAAACAGAGGCTCTGCCGGCTCTGAGAATTGGTCCGGCTGCAGGGCCACGCAAAGGAGGCCCCGACACAACGTGTTTGCGCTTTGCCCTATAGAAGATTATGTCGTTTAGTGTTTTGCTGGTGCCACAAGTGCGCCGGACAATGAAAGCATTAAATACTTGCAGGGGCGAACACGCTGAGAGGGTGGTCGTTCGCAAAGGAGAATGCGCACGAGCTACAGCGAGAGCGCCCGCAAAAAAGAAAATACGGTTCCGGGGCCCCGTGGGCCCCGTGCACACGCTTCATGTAAGAGAACCCAATGGTGCAAGCTCGGTTTGCCTCGGTTTGGGCGAAATCTGTGCAACGTCAAGGGCTGCTATGGCGTGCGGTCCTCTGCAATGTGCGGACCTCCAGGGCTCTGAGCGTGTAGTTCGAGAAGAACCTTAGAAGGCAGTGCGCGTCTTTGCCAGGGCTCGTACGATGCCGGGCGGTCATTGGGAATGAGGAGTAATTTTGGGAATTTTGAGTGCGCGGGAATCAGGCACAGGCCTGAAGCTCAACGCGAACATGCCAATTCTCGAAGCAGCATTGCAATTCATAGGAACTATATGTTGACTCGAAGCAGCACAAGGCCGAAATCGAGGATGGGAACAACGTCAGGGGCAACACTTTCGCTGACTAGCTTCATGGAGTCTTTAGGTAGCCTCTTCCATTTTCATGAAACACGCATGTATGCACCGTATACCTGTGGTCTTCGCATCACCGCCCTGGGGGCAGCACGCCTTGCCCAGGAGACTGGAGGCATACTGCAGGTCCTGTGACATCTCACACGTCGACTGTCAGGCTTACACAAGCGGGCGAGGATTCCGGTATACGCACGAGCGCAACAAGAAGAGAAAGTCGCTTTTTCATGTCTGAGCTTTTGTCATTATCCGCTCCACACGACTATCCCAACCTCTGCCCTTCACCGCTGAAGGGAACGAAGCCCCTGTTGCTGGCTCTTTGCGCAGAGGAAGCCGGGCCTTCCGCCGCCGCGGGGCGCGGCAAGTCCGCAGCCGTCGCGGCACTGGGCCCCACGGCTCCAAGGTCATCCGGGTGCCCATCGAAGCCCTCGAGCATGGCGATCCCCTCCCGCTGGTAAGCCTGGAAGATCTTGAAGCTGAGTCTGCAGCAGATAAGCTGGGTGAGAACTCCGAGCACGATGCAGGAGTTCCCGGTGACTGTCCGCCAGCTGCACAGCTCCCTGTTCTCGATCTTTGTGGTTCTTGTCGAAGGATCCCACACTCGGACATCGGCATAGCAGACTGTGGAGAAGAAGTACTTGGCGCCAGGGATGTACCGTTGCCCGACGAGGATCAAAACCAAGGATGTCAGGTCAGACAGGCAGTTGAAACCTGACACCAACGCCAGACAAAGGACACATTGACCAGTCTGCGTGACGTCCCTAAGCACTATGATGCCCAGCAAAGGCGTCAGGCAGTCTGATATAGCCTCGTTGAAGTAGGTGGACACGAACTCGCCGATGACGACGAGCGATATCGCAACCATGGTGGCTTTCAAGTACGGCAACGTCTGTAGAACCTGCTGGGGGGGAGGGCCACCCATGGAAGAGCCCATGCCCCCCCCCACTGGCAGCACCATACTTCTCAGAGGCTGCCGAAGGGACCGGGCATGAGCAAAGACACTTGAGCACACTGCTTCGAGGCAAACACAGGCACGTCTATGAGCCCATGAAAACAAAAACCCGAGGGGCGAGGTTGGTTGCGCTAAGTGAGGAACGATACATACCATAGCCGAGACTGATAGGTTCATAGACTTCAACCAGCGAGTCGATTTTCAGAATGAGTGGTGCAGGAAGGTCAGCGCTTGCAGATGAACACTCGACTGCTGTCCCGCAACCCGGGTCGTCCAGTATAACCTCACCACGTTGGCAATGCAACAACTGAATACTTAGCAGGCTGACGGGCTGAATCAAACCTCAGTCCTGCCACAGCAGCTGGCCTCCCGTGAGGTAGAAATCCTTGGATTTCTGCACGTCTTGATGTAAGCATAATTATGTCATGAAGTAGAACTTTGCGCCGTTGGCAAGTATGGGCTTGCAGTGGGCATGGAGGTTGACCTGCTTTGGGCGCCTGAGCTGCAGAACCAAGCCTCTAATCCGGACCTCGCCCGATCGAAGGCTCTTCGTGCTTGTGCCAGCAACCTGCGCATGGCATAGCACGGCAAAAGCCACAAGATCAGCTATGTTGCCATCCATAGCCCTTGAAACGAGTGATGTTGCAAAACCCATGCTGTATTGAGGTTGTTCTTCACGGAGGATGCCGGCAGGCCCACATCAGGGCACCTAGGGTGAGGCTACATGTGGCTCATCTCATGCCCGGGGCCTGCGCGAAGAGGACAGGAAGTCTCGAGCCTCTCGTTCTTCACCTGCCGAGGCTTCTTGCTGCTTTCAACATCTCAGCACTCCCATTGCTGCCTGGGAGCCACTGTTGCTCGGCACAAGGTGTGATGAAGAATGCCAGGTCCGGCAGGCTAAGAAACATGTAAAAAACAAAAAACTGAGCCAGCAATTGAGCAAAAGGGAAAGAAAGAAACGCGGAGAAGAGGCACAGGCGCATGAATCCCTTCTCCCCCTTGACTAATTACACGGTGCTTGGTGCGGCGACATTGGCACGCCCCCCAAACACAGCTGTCGCTCCTTAATATCTGAAACCTGAGGCAGAACGCTACACAACCCGATCGCACAACTCGATCGCCATCAAAAAACGAGACTCTCTGGTCCACCCGGCCTTTAAGACCTAATCTTTCGGCGAGCTCGGTGACGTCACCCTCAAGGACCGAAAGCCTTGGGCTCAGACATGTGAGCTCAGAGGAACCTTACAGGGTCGATGGGCCTTGATGGGAAGGGAAGAGAGCCCCGATTCGCAGCGACTTTGGAGCTGACATCTGCACAACTTGCCCGCACTGCAATAACCCAGGGGAACTAACTCATGTGAAGTAGGGTTTATATTTCTTGTACCCCCAAAAGGACGCCCAATGTATACACTCACCAATGTTAAAAAGGAACCTTCTATACACTCACCAAAAACAGAAATATAAACCCTGCTTCATATGTGGGGGGAGACATCCTTCGGGTCGGACCAGGGGCTCTTCCACATGTTCTGGGGAAGCGGTCTGGTAGGAGGTCACCTGACATGGCATCAGAAGGCGTCCAGTGGTTTGCTTTCGGCTTTTGCCTTTTTTGCCTTCTTGCCTTCTGTATCGGTGTCTCGCGGCATGTTGTCTCCTCTCTCCCTCTCTCTGTTTCTGTTTCTACCTGCCGCGGGCGTGTAAGGGGGTGGGACCCCTGTGCAGCTTCTGCACCCCTGCATAGTACAGCTCTCCTCTCCTCCTTCTTCTTCTTCGCCGCCGGCGGGCAGGGGGGATTCAAGGCTGCCCGTAGTTACTTGCAGAAGCCTCATGCGCATATTAGGCACACTCATATCATCTGGCAACTATGGAACGAAAGCCCACCATGAATTGCCGCGTGGCTGTTGCAGGTTTGTGGGGGTGGACGCGGGGAAAATTTTGCGGGGGGCCTGGACTGTGCTGGTGCCGTTGTCGGGTCAACTTGCGCTTGCATCTAGGAAAACCCCCGGAGCGTGATTCGGAGGCCTTGCGTTGTGCTTTGTAGAGAGCGTTGCGCAAGGACATGAGACTCAATGCATCCGCATGTCCCCTTCTGCGCGGCGCAAGGACGCCCACGCACACTACCCACACACCAGGCTCTGCAAAGCTCAACGCCCAAGGCTGCTTCAGGCCGGGCCTGCTTTTCCAACAGCGAGAACTCAGCGACCAAGAGCTTGAGCTGAGGTCCGGCTACTGCCCATTCAGACCTCACAGATGTGCGGAGCCCTGGCGAAACAAAAAACTAAACAACATCCTTTGGCCACTTCTCGATCACAGATCAACACCTGCATCAACCGGCAGCTGCCTGTGCTAACAGAAGGCTGCCGTGCCCTGGTTTAGCACCACGGACATGTGTCGCGAAGCTCAAGACTCAAGAGCCTTCCATGCAGTCAGGGCGCATGTTCGTGCCGAGTAGGTCCCTCTCCAGCTCATCAGCGCATCGCTGAAGAAGCCACTCAATGTTTCCTTGGCTTTCAGATTCGGCCGGTACGTATCTTTCGTGCGTGCAGGCTCGAGAGTGCCGACGGCTTCGGGGTTTGGTTTTCTGTGATCCAGGACAGCCCGCGGTTGAGGTGCCTTGGTTCGTTTGTGGCGCGTAGTTTGGGGTGTAAAGATCTGTGCCAAGGGGCCGCGGATGACTGAATCGTTCTACAAGACAGGAGGTTAAAGGCCTGTCCTCATCGTACATGTGCTCTTGACCTCGTCTACTGGCCCATCAAAAATGAGTCTCGCTCAACCTCAGGAAAAACGCTTGGGTTGTGGGTCTCGGAGCACCAGTGTGCATCGAGGGAAACTAGTCCAAAAGCTTGGCGTGGTCTGCAGGGTATTCCAACTCTAGTCCCCGCGATCTTCGGAACATCTTCAAGCATATTTGAAACGCTTAAGACACGAAGCCCAAGTAGCTCATTGCAATGCAAAACGTGAAGAGGGAAGGAGCTCATGGCTGGGAAGTTGAGCGCGCGGTGGAGGTGATTGGACGGTCCGGCAACATCCCTTTTCAGTCCTTGTAAGTCCTTGAAGACTACCTTCGCGCCAGTAATTAGAAAAGAACATGCACAATATTGGCAGCCGAAGATTCTTACCGATACCTCGCTCCGCCTGGTGCGGACTTCCTCCTCGTAGCCTGGCTATAAACGGCTGAGCATATTTGCAGGGCGCCTCTACCATCCCCCCGACAAGGACCCAAGCCTCAATGTGAACCCGAACTCAATCTGTCAACATGCTTTCTCGATCTTGTTACAGTTTGTCAACTTGGTATGTTCCTAATCGAACATCGATTGACCATATACGGACCGATTCTCAAACCTAAATCAAAGTCAAATGTATATGCCCTATAAACCCCTAGAAACCCTGCGAACCCTATAAGCCCTTTAGACCCCCAAAAAGGAAAACCCGATGTGAAGCCCTCACAGTGGGTGGCCTCGCAGCTCGGATCGTAGCTCGCGCAACTCATCGGCACCCGGCGCGGCCTCCCCTTCCTTCGCCCGAGTCGGGCCAAGCCGATCGGCTGCCTCGTGGGATCGTTTAAGTGGTCTCCATGCCTGGAAGTTCGCATTGTTTTTGCGCTTTGTCTGGAAGGGTCGATGTTAAATGCCGAAGTTCGGGAGGAGAACTCCAGAAGCCCACGCAGTCTGGCATCGCAGTTGCTGTCACGAGATAATTGAGCAATAGCCGCGAATTTCGAATGCCCCACCTCCATTTCCTGAACCGCCATGAAGCACCCTAATGCGGTGACCCAAGTCCAAAGCAAGACGATCATGACAACCCGTCTACTTGGTCATCATTCAAACCCCATGATACCCCAAAGTACGAAGCTTTACCCTCGGGCCTTGGCGAGGAAGCGCTTCCGCGCTGCCACCGCCTCTTGCGCCCTCTCCTGCGTCTCTTTGCAATTGGGCGACTTGACAGGTTCGGCTTGGCTTCTCTCGTTTAAGCGAACCCTGACAATAAGCGCCCATACTGCTCCGTACTTCCATGCTGCTCATAACATCCACCAGCCGCGTGCCTTAGCCTGCCTCAGCGTGACCCCCCGCGCTTCTGCGAGCGGGGAGTCGTTGGACGTCGTCTTTCGCTCCTGCCCATGACTATTTCCGTTCCTTGGCTGTGGAGAAATCTTGGAACATCTTCTTCGACAACAAGCTGCTGTCGATCCATGCACAGTAAATCTTCAACAATCCCTATGAAGCACAACCCGAATTACACCTAAGCCCTATAGACCCTAATGTTGAGAGGAGATTTCAGACAGTGGGCATGCTGCAGGCCAACACCTCCGACTACCGTGGATGTTTGGTCCAAAGGACATGAAGCTGGCAGGCAAGCCCATGATGGTTGTATAGTGTATGGCCTGTGGGCAAGCCTAAGACCAACGATTCGACCCACATTTTAGCAAAGAAGCAGCACTCCTACTTGTGCAGAGAACGGAGCAGTGCAGCAAACAGGACAGCATACAGGTTCGTTTTTTTCGTGCGATGGTGGAAAAATGGAGATCCAATTCGATAGAGCCATGTCTTTTCTCCCTGCCTTCGCTGCTCGACCTGCTGGACACCCTCCGGGGTTTCAGCACCTAAACCCTTTTTGCCACTGGACTGAAGGCAAGCCAGCTCCCATGCATGCACCTAAACCCTAAACCCTAAACCCTAAACCCTAAACCCTAAGCCCTAAGCCCTAAACCCTAAACCCTTTTCTGGCCCTGCTGAGCCCCGACGAAGCTTGCCGTCCAGGGCTCAGGCGCTCCCAGAGATCGCGAGAAAAGCGCGCTGCTTTTCCTGAGCTCCATAAAACCCCCCCCCCCCAGGCCTCGAAGTATTCACGCGTGTCCATTTTGTGAACTCATGCAAGGCCCTAATTCTTGTTTTCAGGACCTTCTGCCGTTAACCCTTAAGCAACACCGCAGAACCTACCAGAGCCCAGCAGCCGGGGTCGCTGAAAGCTCCATCTAAGTCGACTGTCTGATCGTCGCGGACCTGCCCAGCAACATCAAACTCACTCCACGCTGCCCTGAAATGTCAGGTGTCCTCAATACACAGTTTGGGTCAGGTACGTCGAGAAGCAATTTTCGCACACACTTGCCAATTTTCGCCGAGCCACATACCAGGAGAGCCGCCTTGCCAACAGCAAAAACTGCATCTTTGCGGAAGGAATGGAGGTGCAATCTTCTCAACTCCCAAAAACCCTAAACCCTAAACGCCCTAAACACCTGATGAGAAGAGCGGACAGCTTCGCACGCTGGCCTTTGAAACTCTACGCGCGCGAAAGCGGCCGAGAACCGAAGCCCTTGCGACATGTCTTGGGGACCATGTTCCCCCTACTAAGTAAAACAGTCCTTAATGGAGATTCTAATAGGGGGGTACTATAATCCCCATTAAGGACTCTTAGTATAAGGGGAACATCCCAAGACATGTCCATGAACTGCCTTGCACGCCAGGGCGGGGTTGATACCGCAGGGACGCTGAAGCGGCGACACGAATCTGGGAATCTCGAGGAACTCTTGGACTACCCAGAGCCACGCGTGCAATCAAGTAATTCCTCCATGTGAAAAAAAAGAAAAGGAGCTTAGTTTTTCGGAGGCCGTGAACAAGAAGTGATCGCCAGGAAGCTCCGATACTCCCCGATGCACTCTAAGCCTCGATCCATCCGTTCCATGAAGATTCTCTCCCTTTGAACAGTCTCTAGTGCCGTTTAGCCTGAGACCCTTCATAAACATCCTCTACCATCCCTCAAAGCCGGGCCTGGGATCCGGGAGAGCTGCATTGCCACGAAAGCTGGCCACCTTTTCCATGGCGAAGACACTGCGAGACTTTGGGGGGGGGGGGAGCTTGCCGAGGCCCTTTTTTAAGGGAGCCCTCACCCGAGGGGCCTGGCGGATGGCAGCTTTCCCCTCAAGGAAACACACATCGGATTCTTGGCAGCCCAGTCAGTACTGCAACCATCATGTTCAAATGCATGTCCCGGAACCTGACCGGAATTGTGGTGCAGATTTCTCAATGTTCCCGACATTGCCAAGCGGGATCACGTTGTCATAATCTCCCCGACACTGTGTTTCAAGGTTTTCGGGTCATCTGACAATTTAAATTGGTTCTATAGCCTTGATCTTCTGAGTTGAGCTTGAACAAAGCTGAAACTTAAGAGCATGAGCCCATCCCTCTTGCGTCTGAGCACAACAACCTGCCTTTCTGAGGGTAGTTTCATGGGCCCTTCATGTGGTCCCTAACCTCCTCTAAATGGTTCTGATGTATGGGCCCTTGCTTTGTCTAGGGTATATACGGGGTACCCTTTTAAGGGCCCATACCAAGGGACCATGTAACTCCCCTTAGGGCCTTCTGAAAAGTTGAGCCCTAAAGTCTCTGCGCGGCGTCAGCCATAGAGTTGAAACTCACTTTTCAAAGGTTCTCTACAGCTGCTTCCCTGGAGTAATTCGCGACAGTGGAAGCTTAAACCTTAAACACTGTTCCGGGATGCCTATTTGTTGAGGCGAGAGGGGGGGGTGGAAGGGCAAGGACCTGCTTGGACTGCCAATCTGTTCCAGCCAGCTTCAGGATGTATTCCTCGAGCTGCTCGCCTTTCGCCACGAAATCATTAGCTTTGGCTTTAATCAATGCTAGCTGCTACGAGCTGAGAGCATCATGCTGGCGGCTGGAAGCAACTATACGTATAGGTCCAGCACCTTGCACCAAGGAGCAAATCTTGGACAGCTGTGCTAGGTTCTTTGCCCGCTCCAACCTGCAGCGTGGCTGTCTAGCAGCGGCTATGAGGCGAGGCATGAAGAAGTTCAGGGCCCCTAAAGACCTGCGAGACAACGACTTGAACAAACAGCTTGAATGGCCTGACATAACCATCCAAATGCTGCTGGAAAGCGGACTGAGCACATCCGTCTCTATCTCATCTTGCTCGAGCTTGCAGGCAAAGTTCTGCAACTTGTTGCACAGGTTCCTGATTCTCTCGGACACATCACCTACTACTTTCAAGATACCTGACATTCAGTGACCCAGTCATGGATGCCACCGATCTTCGGATTGATGTCTAAGCTTTTGTGAAGGGGCCTGAAATCATGGAGGTGTCAAGCCAAAAACCTACCCTTGTGCCAGGCGTCTGATAGTCAATTAGCGCCAGCTGCTGGGCGCCCGAGAGGCTCACGGCAAACTCCCCGGAGGCCATGGCATCTCGCAGCTCTTTCCTTGGGACCCGGTGTCGGGGGACAAGCACCTACAAGGGCTATGCTACGTTAAGAGGGCAAACTCCGGAACGCCTCCGCCAAGAGGCCAACAGCAAGGTATCACCCCCTTAAACAGGCTGAACGTGACAGTACTTCGTCGCGATGGCTATCACTCTCACTGCGTGGTTCGCCGCCCCACCGAGGACAATCTTATGTTCATTGCTGAGTTACTGCGTGTTTATGTGTGGACTGCCCCGGACAAAGCAAGGACTACCAGCGATTCAGCCTCAGCTGCTATCCCTGCTGCCACGTGCAGCTTTCAGTTGGCTTGCACCCCGGCCCTCGCAGCCCCACCATCCAAATGATATCATGCATGTTGGTATACTTCTCAGCGGATGCACAAAACTCGTCCGTACTCGCTCGAACGCAGAAAACGGCAAGTTTCCATGAGGCTCGATTCTATAGAAGCTCACAAAATACAGCCCCTTCATCATTTGCAGGTCCGAACGGCACAAACACAACGTCCTTCAGGCGGCGCGACAAAGGGCAGGCAAAGTCGGGGCTTCCCCGGATCTGCTCAGCAACGGCATCCGGGTCCTTTCCGGGTGCAGATTTAGGGTTTAGGGTTTAGGGTTTAAGGGTATATATATGCTAAACATATGTGAGTGTTGAGTAGCAAGCAAAGCCATGTGTTCTGCATTCTTGACGTGAGACGTCCTCACTGTCTGCCTCAGTCTCTTCCGCAACTGATCCCCGCAGCGGTGCGAAGACCTGAGGCAAAGACGCGCAACTAGAGAAATAACTACAAGGAAATGGGGGACCGCAAAACATGAGCAAATAAATACCAAATACATAAAAGAGAGAGAGGGAGATATATATATATATATACACAGAAAAATATAGATCATCAACAAGTCCAAGCTCAATTGTATGTCCATATATATATATATAAGTTTGGAGCCAGGGTTGTGTCGCATCGCTCTTGGCTTCTGGATTCCCTGAAAAAGCAACACCCCCGAGCTTTGAAAAACCCTTAGGGTCGTTGTCGAACCGCCCCGAGGCTTTGGGCCCGGGGGTCACGGATTCCTCTTCTATATAGACGCATACAGAATCTCAGACGAACTAGATTGATCTATATCGGTTCCCACTCGCCCGCAAAAGCAACCTCTGCCTGCCAGGCCCTCAATCGTCAAACGCTGCAAACACGAATCCGACACGTTTGCTTGTAGAAGTTAAGTTAGAGAGAAGTTCAGTCAATGCCACAGGCGTTGCCCGCTGCACCCGCCGCAGCGGGTTGCGGCGCCGGCCGCGGCGCAGCAACGCCTCACTCGTTCGGGCTCGGGGTGCGGAAACTTTCTGATTTCATTCTACGCCGTATTTGTAGCCCCAAAGAACCGGAACTATAAGCAGGGGATGGACAAAGCTAGGTTGGGGTACTTAACAGAGGCTGCCAGAACTTGCGCGCCCACCAACTCCTAAACGCGAAGGTCTTCCAATGACATGGCCAAGCGGGGTATGTCCAAAAAAGAACACGTTGCTTTCTGCATCTCCCCCTTGCACGAGGTAAGGCAGTGTTCTGGAAATCATGGCTAACTCCGCCTCTGCAAATAGCTTCAAAATATCACTATATTGAAATCGTCAAGATCGAGCCCAACTATTTGCACAGGGAGCTCAGCCCAGCAGCCTCAGCAGCCCAACAGACCGAACCAACAAGCAGCCACCGAGCAGACCGGGACCAGCAGTGGAAACGAACCACAAGTCCATTTGATCTCGTAACAACGCTGCACGTTGCAACCCGGACATGACTCGACCATGACCTCACCAAGCAACTTGTGCTGGAAGCGTTTCTTGCGCTAATACGCTACAGCAGTGCCGATCGGAACACTCAATAAGTGTGCCTTTCGTAAGCACCCTCGGATTCACATGACATGTTCGCTGTGGTTACGATCCGCATTCAGCCGAACATGCTCCGTCAGCATTTTCGGGGCCAGTAGTTCTACTGAAAAACTAGCAACGACCAGCTTCCACCTGCTTTTGTTTTCCGTTGCAGCTCGGATCCCAAGTAAGCTATAGAAAAGCTCTCCCGGCTTGATTGCTCATGTCAAGAAAGCCAGAAAGCAACCCCTGAGGACCGAAGGCAGACAAGGCATGAAGGCTTCCGGACGCGTCACATACTTGCACCACACACAACAACGCGCCCCCACGTGCCCTCACGAGGCGACCATGCCATGCCAAGATGCGATGGTTGAGATGGCCGCCGGCCGAAGGAAGGCGCACCCTGCGGACTCGGACATCGAGCTCCGAGGGGTCCTGGCATTCGCAACGCTGAAGACAAAAAACGCCCCTCAAAGATATGGAGGTGTTGATCTCTAAGATGATAAGTCCCCCCTCAAAGGGGGAAGTCTCCAGGAAATAACTTAGCTTCACTTCCAGCAGGCGAAGCCAACTTTTACGCCCCACCCCCCGTTCAAGCCCAACATGACAGCGATTCAGATAGCAATGCGAAATATGATTACCTGACGTGCCTGTCTGTTAGTCATGGCCCCATGGCTGTGCCTCTGACGGGGCGCATCACGACACCTCGGCCGCCAAATGGGACCTGGGGCGTCCAAGGTATAAAGAGACATGAGCTGGTGGAGGTTGCTTCGAGTGGCAGTTTCATCCCCTTTCGCTTGCTAGTGTGCGGCACAAGCAAGCCGAACGGTTAAAGCGGAAGAGAGGTAAACCAGACAACAGGAAAGCACATGTATGGAAACATGAAGGAGCTGCTGCTCCTCCTTCTTTTGCTGTTTTTGTTGCTGAATACCTCCGCCATGCATGCTTAACTCTTTTTCGTGCGGACCTTTGCTTTCTTGTCCGCCCATGCTTCCTGAATTCACCAGTATGCGTGCAGAATCCCTCGAGGAGCATGGGTTCGCCCGTGCATCCAATTCTCCCTCCTCCCTCCTCGCCTTAAGAATTCATCTCCTTCTCTCTCCTTCCACAATATTGTGTGCCGCTCGATGTCCGCAACTGCCAAGCACTTGAAGTTTGATGTCCTGCACTCGGAATAGAACTTGTGAACACTGGAGAAAAACAAAAGGCTGCTCAGGTCTCAGGGTCTCAGGGTCAGGCTCAAGCCAGGGGTGCGTGTGGCGAGGCTCAGCTCAGTGGCCATGGCTCTTCTGAACTAAAGGTGTTCTGAAGAAATGGCTTGTCGCCCCGGATATCGATTCTGGCTCGAGGTCTAGGTCTCGAGCGTGATGCAACATGATCTTTGGGCTCTTGAGCTAGTGAGCTAGTGGCTCACACTTCAGCTGGTAGTGCTTGGTGGTGGTCGCGGTTGCTGCCGTGCCTTCTGGAATGGCCTTCGTCCCAGAGACGAAGTGGGATGGTAAAGGTTTTACAGCATCAGGCATGACAAAAGGCACCTATCCACTTCCTGAGCAGTGAAAAACACCGCGGAATAAAAGACCTCCTGTGGAGGCGTTGCCAATGCCAAATGGACTCTTGCAGCACAACGACAAGCCGTTGGTTGATTCTTCAGTTTGGCTCGCCGGCACGAATTCAGCAGAGCAGAAAACATCCAAAGGCACCAGAAAAGAGTTCAACCCCTCGAATCTGGGATGTCTGGGCAAAAGCAGGATGTGAAGTTTCGCCAGATGGCTTTCTCATGCACTCAGCTCCCTCCCGGCCTCGTCAAGCTTGCCCTGGACATGCTTCGACAAGACGACAAGGCTGATGTTTTGAGGGTCCCCTTTTGGAACTTTATTGGAACCCTTGAGGCGCGCGAGCTTACCCGACACCCTACTTAAAGACACGCTGTTGGACGAAGGAGAATAAACTGCACATCTCCACCGCAGGCATGTTGAAAGACTGTTTAAATATGCACTGAAAGCACTCAAAAGAGCTGTGCTGCAACCTGGACCCCAAGACGAAACTGCAAAAATAACGTGAAGTCCTTTGAAACATCGAAGACGCATTGAAGTGGGGACCCAATCATGGCAAGCGCTCCAGGCAGAATCTTCCCTTTTCCGGGCCTCTGAACTCTAGACTTCCAAAGTCTATTGAGTCTATTGAATTCAATCCTCAGACCATGCCTTCGCAAGCCGACTCCCCTTCAACGGCGCCTGCAGCTGCAGGGCAAAAGCCACCCCGGCCAGAGCGTTGCGGCTGTCAGGTTGCAGGCGCAAGCCAGCGCGGAAGGCCTGTGGAGACTGGGGGGGGCTTTCTCAATGTGCTATTAGCACTGCGAAGCCGAGTTTCAGGCTCCGCTTAGAGGCCAAGAGCATCGTGATGGAACCACACTTATTTTGGATGAAACATCATGCTACAAAGAGGGCTTTAAGGAGCACTTCGTTGTAACAAGGCCCTCGACCTCCCTGCAACCCCCCGAGCCTGCAGTGCTCGAGCGTGAGCGCCACACCTTCGGGCAATGAAGGCAACTGCTCGGCTACAACGAACGACACCAGCTTTCACTTAAGTGGGATCTCGGTGGAGCCAAGCACATGAACTTTTCGGCCGCTGCATCTCAAGGATCAGGCAATTACCAACATGTCATGAGATCTTGGGTGACAGGTCGACCTCTTAGAGTCATGGAGTTGCTGAGGTCACGGCTGGAGGAGCGCATGGCCCAAATTGACATGCAGGGTTTCCTGCACAGCTTCCAAGCCAGGACACCCGATGTCTGATGCTCTTGTCAAAGGCGCACCACTCTGTCAGGCCTACTGGCCTACTTGCAAGGCTTGAGTGGCTTTGTGGTATGGAACTCTATATCTTCAGGAATTCGCAAGACTCCTCGTATGCTTTTTGCCCCCCCCTCCCCCCCCCCCACCCCCCGCCGGAACTTCAATAACGAGATATGGTCCTTCTTGAGTGATGATTCTTTTTAAGGCATCTGCCGAGCCTCATGCTCGACAGCGTACCTACGGGACCTATATATAGGTCAGGGGGCGATCAGACAGAAAAGTGTGGGCAAACGTTGGGGGTGGACCCTAAGCTCAGGCTTGTACTGCGGGGCTGAGGGAAGTTAAATGGCTGCTGCTGTGGTCTCCGGTTGCGGAATGTCGACTCATTAGCTGCTTGCTGGCTCCTCCGGATCGCTGGAGAGGCTGACGGCACGCTCAAGCAGCTCACACGCCTGCTCGGCTGGAGGGCTTAGGTTAAGCTTGGGGTGTTGGGGCAAGGAAGGCGAACCGTCCGCCCATTTCAGCACCTTCTCCCCCCGCAACACCCCAATCTCTGGAATGCCACATAGCTGCGGCGGGAGGGGGGTGGGGATAATTCTCCAAGTCCGAGCCAACAAGTCGGCAGGGGGTTTTTCCGGCTCCAAACCGCTTGGTAAAAGCTTACCATCCTTTACCACCGATGCAGATCTCACCGATTCACGTGATCTCTCAGAAGGCCGCGGGCCTCCTCGTAGCTGTGCTTGTGGTAGGCCACGACGCCCAGCCTTGTCAGGACATGTCAGGCTGCGGTTGCTTGAGCCTGTCTAATCAGACCAAGGTGCTCATTGTAGACGTGTGGGTCTGTTGGCATCAAGGATCGGGCAAATTCCTTGGCTGGAGCAGAAAGCCTCTCTAAGCAGCCAGCTAAGATTCTGAGAGACTCGGTCTCACGGCTTCGGGCGGCGGGTGCAGGGCGACATTGCTTCCGCTTGAAAGCATTCTGCCGGTTTTACAAGGCAATTTGCCAACTGATGCTGATGAGTGGGACAAAAGTCGTGCGGAATAGGATCTCAAGATGTGAGTGGAGCTTTGGGAAGTGTCGGGGCGAACTGTTGTGGCCAGTGTTGGGGACCTTGACATGACACTAGCGAGAGCCGGAAGCCTCTGAAGGTTCACAGTGCACCTCCTGGGTGCAACCGAGGCTCTAAGCACTGCTGCGCTAGCTGCAGTGAGTTTGTGCGCACGTACTCCATGCCTCCAGCCCATCTGTTGAGATCAGCTTCCATCCCTCATCCACACCAAACTGCACTGCGTTGACTACAAACCGATAAGCTTAAACCATTGTTGATGCAGGCGGTGTACGGCCTCTGCTGATTTCCTTGTTTCGATGACGTCGCAAACCTAGAAATAAGCAAGGCTAAATGTTCTCATGCTTCCAAATAAAAAACGAAACTGAAAAAATGAAGTTCGCCAGCAGTCTTACTTTACACGACAGGGTCCAATGTTTGACCCCGTAGAGTCCTCGGACCTAAGGGATCAAATTTGCCGACCGTGCCTATGAAGAGCCAGGGCAGCTGCGAGCCGGGAAACCTCCAAAACACCATCAAAGCAGCTCAGACTGCTGAAGCTTTGGACTCCGAGCAAGTTGGGCGAAAGGTGAGAAAAGTCGAAGAATTCCGAAACGCTTCATCTCTGGTCTTCAGGGCTTCAAGACGTGATTTAGCCGAGCGGCAAGCGGCTTGCTGTGCGATACCTGAGCAGTAGCTTCGAAGGACTCATGAATCATTGCAAACGGCGCCACGCCAAGTGTTTCCAGTTCAGGGCTCATTGCAAAGCCAGCTACCAGATCCAGGCATGCCGAACGCACACTAGTCATCCTTATCCTTGTGCGACTTGCCGCGCTGTCGCGCGGGGTTACGTCAAACGATCTGTAAAGTCCTACTGTCGCCAGAACAGCCACTGGCAGCTGCATGAGGCGCATCTGGGCAATAGGCAGTTCGGGAAACTTGGAGTGCACTCTATGAGTATCCAAGCGCTTTCCTTTGCGGGATCATACCTGCCACAGCACGGTCTTTTGTCGCTGTCAGCCGTTGCAAAATCCAGGACTGGTGCTCACAATGAGGGCACGAAGTGACGTCATGCAACATACGGCACATCAACTTGAGGTGCACTTGAGCACTTGAGGCGCTTGCAGAAAATTGATTCTGCGGAGGCAACCGCAGCCAAAACAGAGTCCGCACCATCTTCAGATTGAAGAGAGAGGCAGAGAGGGCCACGACTCCAAGGTCTGGCCCACACTTTGAAAGCAATGAGCCCCCTGCACCAAAACAGGACGCCAAGCTGCTTGGAGGCTTCAGACTCTTCAGACCCTACCAAACAAGAAAGTGCTGAGACGTCAGGCTTCTAGGCTTAGGTTTAGAGGGGCTTATGATGGTCCACAGTTGGTAGAAAAAATGACAACCGTGAGTCCTACCCGCAGCGCTTCTAAACCTAACTACGCAACGGCATAGCAGATGTACGTCCACCAAATCTTGTCAAAGCTCACACCCCACCGCCTGGGGCATCGGTAGGTTTCCATGGCGGGGTCTGTCCGTGTCTCAGCCCGGAAGGCGCTTGTAGCCCTCGCCCGTCGTGAGCACGGGATCCAGCCATGCCGCCACGGAGAGGATGCCTGCAGTCCGATGTGTATGCATCCAGGCGCAAGCTATTGAGATTGCAAATGGGAGCTAGAAAAAGAACCTACGGGCTACGGGCCTCTGCGTCTCCCCTATGCATCCTTAAGCCAGACAAGCCAGTTCCACAAGCCATCCCCGGACTCGGTTAGCTAGTTTGCTTGTAGCTAGACTGGAACCATGTCGCTGTGCGAAGTGGTCATAGGCACACATAAGCACGGCTACGCCTTCAAGCGAAAGGACGGCTTTTCGCATCCAGCCCTCTTCACGCACCCGGCGTCAACACAAGATACCGAAACCCTAGAATGAACCAACATAGAACACGAACTCCAACAGCGATCTTCAACCAGTGAATCCTGAGCCGGGAGGCCAATGCCCACCACACCAATGATATGGTTGAAGGGCGCTGGGAAGGGACCCCCGATGGTCAGCACCTATAGTCCACGTTGCGTCAACAGATTGGCCACAGCATCGGCAAACAAAGAAGAGTACCGGGCCAACAACACAGAGTATGCAGTTGTCGGTTCTGGGTAGTTTATGCGCCCGTTGCCGGCGCATTGGGAAGAGGTGATGGCGTTACATGCAACATGCCTCCAAACACCTGTGCTAAACTCCCTAATCAACCCCTTCACAGGGAAGGCCCAATTAAGTCAAGGAGCGGCATCAGAGGCTGCGACGACAAGTGTTGCCGGGGCAAACACGCGCAGTGCGCTCGGCTGAAAATAGAAGAGGGCCAAAGTGCCGACACCTTCCAAGTTCAATAACTTCCGCATTGTGGCTCAGAAAGCCAAGGTAAAGCAGGCTCGTTGCCATGTCATGCGGGCCATTCTTCATGGTTTTTGACTCAGCAGTCTTCATGAGTTTTGTGACATAAGTGTGAAGCTCAAAAAAGAGCCGGTGAAAAGGGCACGACAATGCAAAATCCGACGACGTCCGATCTGAGATAAGGTGGAGTTGAAGCAATGATTCTCGTCGGCATGGGACGTGGTCCCGATGATGATGTGTAGCTGACTGCAGTGCTTGGAGACATCTCGCTTTAAGTATGTCGCTTTACACCGGCCCGTCCAAAACTTGTGAGAGCCCAGGCGCCCAGGCAAAGGTCACGCACGCCAGCCACTTTGACCTGAAGATGTGCGCCGCAGGCCACGGGCTACAATACATCTCACAGTCGGAGAGTCGGAGAGGCACCTACAACTGCCTACAACCATCACACCCCTCATCCGACTGAATGGGGTGTCAAGATGCCCAACGCAATGCAGGGCTGCTGGCTTCCAAAGGCAGGCCGTACCTTGCCCACAAAGTGGCCGAATGCAAAGAGCTACGGCCTTTGAGGGATGTTGAGGGTAGCTTAGCAGCAAGGATTTCAGCTCAGCGAATGCGCTGTCGACACTTCACTTGCAAAAGAACGCATGAGGTAGCAGACAGTTGCTTGTCTGAGTTCGGCCTTAGTGCCAGCCAAGACCCCACTCCTGCTTCATAGAGTCAGAGCTTAGATGAACCCAATCCTCTGCAACTTGTGCGAGCGCTCCATGCGGTGCCGATTCACGGGAAACGCGAACGGAGTTCAAATTAACTTTCGGAGGTGTGGTTGGACCTCTGCCTTCTCAAGTCCTCATAGGATGAGAGAGCATGAGATATCAATCCCATGATGATGACGGGGGGGATGACTGGACCACAAGGCTCCTCAATACCATCAACAAGAATGTCTGGCACACCTCTGCCTTGTGACAGGAATCCCTTCCCAAGAATGCTCACCATGAATTTTGATGCACTAAGCCCCCCTAAGCTTCCCTGAGTGCTCAGTGCTGACAGTGACTCAGTCTTGGGCCGAGGTGCATTTTGGAGGAGCCCACGGGGTCTGCCAAGCAGCCAACTCCCAGCCCTGCTGTAAGAAAAGGAGGGGGGGGGTGGTCAAGTAGTGTCTTTACCTCAGCTCAAGGGCTGAGTTCTGAGTTCTGAGTTTTGAGTTCTGAGGTGCTTCGTGGGGGTAAGGCAGGCTGTGGCCTTTCTTGCTCCAAAGGCCTATGAAGGCCACTGCTTCTAGTCAAATCTTGAAAATGTGGCTGCATCGTCACACAACAGGCCAACTACCGAATCCTATACCAACCTCAAAGTAACCCAGCAACCAAGACTCGTGGACAGGGTCGATGGGGTGCATTTTCTTCAGATGCTTCTGAGCAGCCGCGCCTACCAAGCCCATGCCCAAGCCTGGGCATCAGTGCTCACACGACACAGGTTCAGCTTCTCGGCTACAAATTCCAGTAAGTTTAAGGAGCCCCGTGCCCAATTCGCAAAACGTGCCGTACAACCTTGTAGATGCTGTCAGCGTGCTCGAAGCTTGCTACTTTGCTTGCCACTCAAGCCTCTCTCTCTCTCTCTCTCTCTCTTAGCTGGTCTCCACGCGCATCCCACAACACTATTGGGGAGTGGGCGGCACGGTAGCCCAATATGTGTGAAAAATACTCGGCGGGTTCCCGAACTAGACCAAAAAAAACACGGCGTTCTTCAATCGCCAACCCCCCCCCCCCCCCATAAACCCTTCCAGATCACCAAGAACCCGAAGATCCCGCAGCAGCAGCCAAGCAGCAGCAGGCACCGAGCTGGAAGGTGGCGTGTGTAAGGCGCTCGCGTGTCGAGAGAGCCATGGCTTCTGAGCTACTGCAGCCACTGAGAATTTGAATCTCAGGGTTGGATGGCTCAGAGTTTGTCATCCTAGTTTTGGGGTAGGGGGTATGGGAATTCGGCGGGAGCATCGGGGCTTGGGGTTTGGGGTCTCCTGTGGTGGGGGACAAATGGCTTTCTGGAGCTGACTAACAAGGCCGCGACTGGTGACTGGCAAGCTCAAGTTACAGAACCGGCTAAAGTCGTAGACCCACCTGCAGTGTAGAATGTGCACACTTATGCCAATCACTGCTTTCAAAAAAAGCACATTGCAAAGGGCTTCTGGGGCACATCTTCTCTGTTAAGGCGCTTGTCGTAAAGTTGCCACTTGTGCAAGGCAAGATTTGGGTTTTTTTCCTCACACTGAGGAGGTCCCGATGCGACACAACTTGTGACTTCGTGAGTGCCCCCACCAGAAGCTTCTGGGGTGTCTCGCTTGGCTTTTTAATAGGAATTCGTAGAAGGACGTCCAAATCACACACCACACCGGAGCCCGTCCTGCACAAGCTCTATGTTTATGTCCGAGCGCTTGAGCAACCCTCTATACATCCCCTTGAGACCCAAGCAGAAACCCCCCCCCAACCCAGCACAACAAGGAATGTCGCCGAAGTTGCGCTGCTAAAGCTTGGTCACTCTCGTCATGCGAGGCAAAGGCATGACCTGAGCTTCGATCTAAACGCTTGCCTTATGCGCTCCCTGTTTCTGAGTCTCGTCCTCCACCCCTTGTTCCTGAACCAGGGACCCTGGATGCAAACTAGCTCAAAACACCTCGACAGGTTGGTTCCATCCCAACTCTCCTCATCGCAAGTATAAAAGCCTGACGTTCGGGCACCCTCAAGCCCTGCACAGCAGGCTCGTCAATCCTGCAGCTCTTATGCTCAACAGAAGCGATCGTTAGGATGGCCCTCAGAAAGTAACGGATAGCAATAAGTAGAACTTGAGAAGTCGGCCATTGTTGGGAGCCTAACGAATATAAGACTCCCCCCTACGTGTTGATTTCGCGGCCAGGAGCCAAAAGCCACCCAGGCAGGGCCGAAAGCGGAGTCCAGGGAAAGGGCCTGGGGGAAGGTTCAGGGCTCGCTGGCAGAGGTTTCGCCTGTCGCTCTTAGAATCCCCGATTCATCTTCTGTTCATGAGGAAGTAGCGGGCTGAAGCTCTAACCTAGCATGGATGGGGACACTACACGGGTCGCCAACATTGCCAAAGCTCACAGGCACTGGGCGTGATTCAACTCCCCAACAGCCACAGCCCTTGCACGAGGCTGCATTAGCAGCCATCGGTCAAAAAAGTATCGAAGTCCGAAACTTGACTTGGTTCTCTCACAACGCGGCCCTACAAAATCAAGCGCTTCCCTTTCAGAATACGCTATACTTGCTATGACAACCTCAGCCCTTGCCCTTGTCACCTCAACCCCGTGTGGCAAAACGGACGAAAAACCGAAGCCCGAGCAAATCACTCGTTACTGGGCTTCTGGCCTTGTGCAAGAAGCGCCTTGCCAGCTCGTACCTCAATACTTTGGAACATCGGATTCCAAGGGCCCAAACACGGGGGGAATTGGCAGCCGGTAGCGGCCTTTTTTTTCATGGGAGGGTAAGCCCTCCGACGTGATTTTGCCTCAAGAATTATAAGGGAAGTGTCTTCACTTTGCTGGTATCTTATGATATGCAGCGTTTCAGGGCCATTCTTCCATGCATGTGAACACCAGCCAGCAGCCACATGTTCCTTACCTTAATTAACGCTGCGGCAATCATCTCTTATGACTGGTTCCAAGGAGCTTCTTGATCATGTAGTAGTAGCAGCCTGCACATGCGAGCGTTCATGCAGGCGTTTGTAATTGAAAAACGCTCCGGAATCTTAATGTTTCAACGATATTTAAGTACAACCTGATGGCTGTGTCAGACAGAATTGTTGCGCTGCATAGAAAAAGCTGCCGGACAGTATTTTGAATCAACTGCAGTACACACACACAAACCCAGCCTCAGCGCAAAAGCATCTATGAACGGCCTGATATTGAAACACGAGCCACGCAACAAACAATTGCAGCAACATAGACAAACTCTTCACCATCTTTACTCTCTCAACACTCTCCCTCTCTCCCTCTCTCTGAGAGGGCTTGGCGTTCAGGTTTCCTGTTGCAAACATTTTTTGCAAGCACTAAAACCTCGGGGGGGAGGGGTGCCACACCGTGGACAGGTCTACACTCAGTGGCAGCACGTCCTTGCAACCTGCTCTCGGGGTTGGGCCACTCCCCTCACTTGCTCGGCAAGTTTCTCTTGACAGGTCTGAAGTAGTGGTTTGAGTCACGTTAGCACGTAACTCATGAGCGCCAGCCTGTCTTGCTAACCGGCCAGGTCCTCCCGTTAAATAAGCAAGCCACTTTCCTGACCCGAACTTCCGGGAACTCCCCAAGTAGGCACCTGCCGTGAACCAGGCCACGGCTGCAGTTGGGTACGCATTCATCAGCTGGTGGGCGACATAGAAGACGACCTCAGAAATCATGCACTTGAATTCTTTTAGGCTGAGGGTTGAAGCATTGAGCATTGAGGTCTCCGGTACCTCCACCGAATACTCTGAAAATCTGACGTGGTCAGGGCAGTCTACACGAGGCTTTGTGATCGATTCCGGGTTTCGCTCGTGGACACGGCGTTCCTTTTGCGGAGTAGCTAGTCTTTTCAAGCAGTCTCTGGACTTTCTGCTTGCAGCCGACTCCAGAGGAGGAAGTAACATTCTTTCCAAGCATCGCTGCGCAGCTACAGCATGCCTTGGGCCCTAAATTTACTAAAGTTATTAAGTCGAAGCGAGGCGACATTCGTCATGTTCAACATCACCAGCGACGAGATGTGCACCTGGGACAACAGGCAGTGAGGTTGTGCTTGGGAAGCCCTACTCCAAAAGCCCAAGGAACAAGCTTCAGAGTTTTCAGGGGCTCGCCCAGAGTGCCTTGCGGCGAAATTCTAAGAGCGATGAATAGCCGGGTTGGGGCTTTCAATCGTGCTCGGCAAGCCCTGCAAGCCCTCTCTCGGAACGGCTCCGTGGCACGCCATCCGTTCTGAAGTCATTTCCATTCATCCTGCGGAACCTTTGCAACTCCGTGGAGCGCAGTGCCTGAGTGCCTGAGACTGAGATTCTCAATTTCTTTACTTCCTCCAGGACACCGGTAGGGCGGCCAGGTGGTAAGGATCGTCCTGGCTCGAGGGGGTGGCTCAAACAGTTGAGGGCCGGAGAGCTATGCCACTGCGGCGTGGCAGGAGCACCACCAAGTTCTCAACTCGGGAGTTGGGTGTGCGGTTTGCGTGGGCATCGAGCGCGTACTATGAGCATCAGCTGAACCGCGGCGCACTATAGCATCACTCCATTGGGGGGAAGAGACATTTGCTAACCTACTCCCAGCTGACCGCACACATTCACGATAGAAGGCCAAGCGCCAAACACATTCCACCAACGCAGCCTCCAGGACTTTCTTCGACACCAGGAAGCACGACTCGTAGTCGCCCTGCCCACGCTGGTTTTTTTTGAGCAGCGTTTTTTTCCTTTGCTCGGAAAATCTACCAATGATCGCCAGATTCATTGGACGTCTGCTTCCGTTGCTGGCGACTTCTGCCAGTTATTGCCAGTTGACAGTCAGAACATGATGAGGGCCTGTGACATGGCTGCTCAAAAGAACCATAAGTACAGATAGACACACACACACACACACCCCGAGAGCATCTTCATCTAAACCAATCCAGCATCATGAAAATATTGCTCCATTCATGTCATAATTTAAGACAGCAGACAGCCTAAGTGCTGAATTTTGGTGATTTCGCAGCATGCAACCTACGGTAGCCATCCATTGAAAACCTTCGGCAACCACTTCCGTCATGTTTGCCCATTTTACGCCTTTGTTCCACTCGAACCTCCCCTGTGAACTTCGCACAGCGCGTACTTTCCGTACGGCAATGAGCTCTCAAAGCAGCCGGGTGACCTGGTCACGCAGCCTGCCCCTCTGCTGAGGGGGCAAAGTACACAGGACTAGGACAGCATCTTATCATTAACAATCGCCAAGCTGCGGTCATGCCAATTTAATTCGCACTCATGGCAGTACATATATATATATATATAAAAAGAAATCAAAAAATAAATAAATAAACAAATAAAGGAACATATATATATATATATATAGGCAACAACTATTGGCATGCAGTTCGGCACGCCATTAGACACTCGCGGGATTCGGCACAGAGCTCACTTTCTTAGCCCGTGCCGGAGGAATGATACGGACCATCGCCATCCTGGCCAACGAGAGCAGAGTCTTTATCTGGTCCACTGATTGACAAACTGCTGCCACGTGACCATACGTGACCTACATACGTCGATGAACAAGGATTCCGCCTGGCGTGCGCGTGTCCGAAGCCACACCCGGAGAAGCCTCGAGCCCCAACATGCAGGAGCCGGGAAATGTGTCATAACTCATTCCGAGACCTGGGTAGGACCCGTGTTGTCTCAAGCGCGCTCCACCTTTTCTCTCTGCAGCGCGCAATCAGAAATCTTGCCTCCGCGCTCGTTCGATGTTTGGTCCATGGGCCCATGAACTAGTCAGTGGCGACAAGACACATCGCCCGAGCATGAAGCAAAACTGCAAGTGCCTTCAAATCAAGAGAGCGTTGAAACTGTTCTCGCCACCTGTCAAGGTTGTGGAAAATACAGTTCTCGCTCAGCCGCCATGACCTGCCAAGAAAGTGGGCCGTGTGCATTTAGCAGCCGCCGAAACGCTACGCAATAAAACCAGATGTTTAAGGCATGCCTCAGCCATTTACCATACTCTCCCACACACCAATCACTGATGTCGCGTGGCCTCATCGGGCCCGGGCCGGTATCCACAGCCTGTTCAGCCGACCTGGTGCGCTTGGCACAGTAGGGTTTAGGGTTTAGGGTTTAGGGCAGTGCAAAGTTATTCGGGCTTTGGGCTGTGAAATCCACGTATCGCCCCCATGCACAAAGCAAAGAATCTTCAGCGTGCATGCCTGTTTTCTCAGTAGGTCCTGCGAAGCTCAAGTTCCTATAATATAGTTGTGGAGTCACGTATTGGGCCTTCGTCTGGTTCTTCACAGCCTCCGCAGCTGCCTTGATCTTCTCCTCAGCAAGCCAAGGCAAATGGCTTTCTCCGAGCCGTCTATGCAAAGGGAATGTTGGCCAGTTTGGCGTCTAATGACGTCTTGCAGACCGTACATTGAAGCCCCGTTTCGTCACAGCAGTTCTGCGGGCACTATGGGAGGCTTCAGAAGCCCTGCAAACACCTCCAAAACCTCCAACATCTCGAAAACCCTTCTCCCGCCCCCAAGGACGCAGCGCGAACGATCCGTCCGCAGCCGCACCCAAAGATTATGCACTCCCTAAACGGGCCGAGCCAAGCTGCTGCATCGCCGAGGTAGCGCCCGAACTTGAGCGGCTCCACGGCCAACGAGCTTGCGAGAGGCTTCAGGTCCTCATCCACAAGATGCTGTAGGTCGGGGTACCCACTTCTGCCACGCATGGGCTGGGTCTTGATGCATGTTTACAATACCTCGGCGAAATAGATCCCCCCTGTTCTGAAGATCGAGTGGCAGCATCCAGCTCGTAAACAAGAGGCGTCCCAGTCCTTACACGAGGCTGGGAACCATTTGGCCTCCCTATTTCCAGGTGGCGGCGATTCAGGCCCGGACTAGTCCTCAACAACTCTTACTAAGACTTACTGCCGCCCTTCAGTGGATCGAAACAAAATCAAGGACCTTGAAGATTTCTTAATGGGCGCGAAACAGCAACACGCTAAAGTCAAATTTGCTAATCCCCACGAGTTGTGAGACAACCGCAACTCAACCTGCAGGAGCCATGAACAGGTCCCCAAAAAGCCCTGAAGCTCTAAAGTGCACTTCCCAGGCTCGGAATCTCAAGGCCTGGGATCACATCATCGGAGAGGCCCTCAATCCTTCAGTGCAAGGCACACGTGCGTTAGTCCGAAGGGCCGACGAATAACTGCCACTCCCAGACTATACCAGACTTCCGTCTTACGTCTAAAGCCTAAAGAGCAGCATGCCACTCTTCGCTCTCCTACAGGGCCGCAGCGTTTGAGGAGCTCTGTGCTTCAGGGCGAATTGCAGGTGTCAAGTCTTTCGAGGCTTGCAAGCGGTGCTCAAGTCAGACGTCTCACCCGCTCGGAATACTGCTGCATTGAGTGATCCTTCCCACACGTGCAGAAAGGAGTAGCTGGTTGGGTTAGCCACTTGCAAGTGCTCAACGACATCAACACGATGTCCTGTGCTCTCCACCGGGAAAGATCCCTATTGCCCACTTGAACTTTCACAGGGGATTTAGGCTCAGAAGGATCTTGGTTGGAATTCATGAACTATGTAAACTGTAAAACATCAAAACATCATCATTTCTGCCATGAGAATTTCATCATCCTGAACATTAGGCTGTCACACAAACCTCATCAGAATTTCAGTTATTGCAACAGGTGCTGTGTAAAGCCTGAGCATTCGCCGATCTAGGCTGCAACAATGTTGTATCCTGATTCGTGCGGTCCACCGGAAGTGCGAAAAAAAAGGGAAACAATTCAGCGGGATCAATTTGACGATCATATACACTCATCCCTTGAAAATCACATAAAGCCAGGCCCCCCCCCCCCTTGCCACACGATGGGGGGCATGATTTTGTTTGGGGAGGGGAGGGGGGTACACTAATCAGAATCCAATACGAGTTACTCGGAACCGAAGATGAATGATGCATTCAGATTGGCTGAAGCATATCGTCAGCATCAGCGCGGAGATGTCTTGGCCCAGCGAGCAAATGGGCGCGCATCATGAGCATCAGCTGGCAGGTGTCTTGGCCCGAGTGAGCATGCGGAAGCGCATCATGAGCATCAGCTGGCAGGTGCCTCGACCTGAGCGAGCACGAGGGCGCGCATCACGAGCATCAGCTGGCAGGTGTCTTGGCCCGAGCGAGCAAGTGGGCGCGCATCATGAGCATCAGGTGGCAGGTGTCTTGGTCCGAGCGAGCAAGTGGGCGCGCATCATGAGCATCAGCTGGCAGGTGTCTTGGCCCGAGCGAGCAAGCGGGCGCGCATCATGAGCATCAGCTGGCAGGTGTCTTGGCCCGAGCGAACAAGAGGGCGCGTATCATGAGAATCAATTGGCAGGTGTCTTGGCCCGAGCGAGCACTAGGGCGCGCATCATGAGAATCAATTGGCAAATGTCTTGGCCCGAGTCTTGGCCAGCCAGCAAGAGGGGGCGCATCATGAGCATCAGCTGGGAGGTGTCTTAGCCCAAGCCCAGCAAGAGGGCGCGCAACATGAGCATCAGCGGGCGTGTCTTGGCCCGACCAAGCAAGAGGGCACACATCCTGAGCATCAGCGGGAGGTGTCTAGGCCTGACCACAGGTGTCTAAGCAAGAGGGCCACAAGAGAGCGCGCATCATGAGCATCAGCTGGGAGATGTCTGAGCAAAAGGGGCACGTTTGGTCCCGAACAAGCAAGAGGGCGCGCATCATGAGCTGGGAAGCGTCTTGGCCCGAGCAAAAGGGTGCGCATCATGAGCAACAGGGTGAGCATCATGAGCACCAGCTATCAGGTGTCTGGCAAGAGTGGCGCTTCAGAAGCACCAGCTGGCAGGACTCTTCCCGTCTTCTCGAATGCGCGCGCGCGCGCGCGCGTGTGCCCTCTTGCTTGCTCGGGCCAAGACACCTCCCGGCTGATGCTCATCGTGCACCCCTCTTGCGCATCAGCGGCGAAATGTCCTGACCCAACCACGCAAGCTGGCACACATCATTTGCATCATCTGGGAGGTGTTTTGGCAGGACCAAGTATGCCGGGCAGGGACGGGTTGGAGGGCGGCAGGAGAGGAGGCCGCGGGCGAACGGCGGGCTGGCGGGCCGAAAGCTCCAGGGCTAGAGGCTTCAGGGAAATCGTCAGAAAGTCATGGGAATATCATCAAAACATCATCAAAGAACATCAGAAAATCATCCAAACAAACTTCCTGCCGAAATCATCCCCGGACAGACATCTCATCAGAAACATCATCCAACAATCATCGAAAATTCACCATCACGTCACGAGGGCATCATCAACCTCATCAGAAAATCATCAGCTCCAAAATCATTGCGAGAACATCAGCATCTGAACCATCATTCGAGAATCATCGGCAAATCATCACCACCTCACACGGTCATCATCAGCCTCATCAGAAAACTTTCAGAAGTATCATGACATTTCTGATGCAATTGCCACATGAACAAACTGAACCATGATGTATCTTGCCATGTTTGTCAGAACTTTTCCTGGCTTCTTTATTTTGCACATACATCTGCAGAGCTCAACCCCGCCCAGCCCTTGGCCAACCCAAAACCCAAAACTCTTGACCAACCCAAATACCCGAATCAGACATGATAACTTGCCTGAACCCAGACACGCTTTAAAAAACTATAGTGCACCTTTCCCGTCAGCCATGGCTTTACGTTTCGTCGTTGCTCGGCCAAGGTGCATCTTCACAATGGCCCGGATGGAGTTTCCATGGGCAGCTACAAAGACCGTCCTCGGAAGTGTGGAATCAGTGCCTCCTGGCTACAAAGATGCTACAGTACATCTGCATCGGACGCCAGTGGAGTCAAGGATCTTTCCCTGCTTCAAGGCCGGGGCAATGGTCTCCTCCCAGTATGGCATGACCTCCAGAAAAGAGCGCATGGGATCAAGGTTGGTTCATCTTTCTTGCCACCCATCTAGCAGGGCTGGTTCATCTAAGACCTTCATTTCTCGAGTTCTCGACCGGATTGTGGACATGTGGGCATCCTGGAACTATACTCGTGTCTACCTTTCATAAGTGTAAGTACTGCGGCTTCTGTCAAAATACGTAACAAGCTTCGGCCCAAGCTGCTCGTGCGATGGTGTCCTTCAGGCACTCCGTGTCCGGAACATCCTGCAGACAACGCGCGAAAGGCACGCGAGAGAACAGCTTATAGCATTCGGCGACCACTCGGTGCCTTGGGGTCCAAAGCTGCATACTTGGCCTCATGGCACGGGTGGTACTTGTTCTCCTGCACACTCGGGCAGCAAGGTGCCGAGAAACATGAATGACGCATGCAACACTTCTTGAGGATCACACGCCGATCACTCACCACAGTCGCGCCCTCGAAAGCTTCGATTGTACCCTACACTGTCCCTAAGATACGAACCCAAAAATCACAAGGTCATCTCTGGAAATGACTTTCCTCTCAACTACAGGAGCCTTCTCCAGCACCGGTGGCGGAATGTCAAAGGACCGACGCCAGATCTGAACTTGCTCCGCGCCATGCTTCACGACCTGCGGCTCCGTGACTTTAAGCGCATCGCCTGCTTATCCCTGACAACACGCCGGTGCTCACCCACATCTCATAGCTCAGAGCATGCTTGTTTGAGCGGCTACTCTAGCACCCCATCAACAAGAGACCTCATATGAGCTCATCTTCATCCCTTGAGGCCAGCACTGTCTCCTTCTTGTCGAGTCCTGCAAAGCAGATCCCAATCACCCCCCTCACATTGAAGGCAAGCTGCAGCTGTGAAAAACTACAGTGAGACAGGCCCATAGGCCTAGGCCAAAGGGGGCCTGTGTCAAAGAGACCCCCGTGCTCCTGTGAGTCCGCCGTACATGCGCTCGTTCAGGCGCCAGGTCTTGCTCACAGGGACATAGAGTTGGTCGGCCGCCTTCCGTTGCAGAAGGCCAGTGGCGCAGAAAGCCCACAAGCTCTCTCACAAGGCTTCAGATCTTGGAGGAGTTGGAGGGGCACACAGCGCTTTAATCCACAACAGGACCTTTGTCCAACACTGAGTAGGAACGCCGGAACTTGTGAAATCATTACATGCTTTCACCGCAGGAACACAAACAAAGCAGCCAGCCCCATGAAATTCCCAAGGAAGTACCGCTCCAAGAGACCTCCAAGGCGAGGTTGCACGTCTTGATGGCACCTTTTCGTTGGGACAGGGGCCCCACAGCTCAAGTGTTGAGGTTCCGCGGGTTTCAGGCTGATCGGGGTCTCGAAACCGAGGTTGCTTCTCGAAGCATTTCTCGGGTGGGCTGTGCCTTGCTAGAGAACTTCCCTAGGCTCTTGATCCATCCCCTGCACTTGAGGCTGACTTTTGCGCAAGACGTGTGGCTTCTAATTACCTCTCAGGCTTCGCAACGCCGCGAGCCAAATCCCCATCCGAACCCTCTGGACCCTCTGCACATCTCTGCACATAACACTCTTGAAAGTCCTTACCGGGGCACGCTTGAGGTACGATGTGAACGCCAGGTCAATCTGCAGGCCCTCGGCCTTGACAAGAAGATTGAGGGTCATTGGATGGCGTGAAACTTGCCAGGACCCACTAAGGAAATCCGTAGGAAGTACAACCAAAAAGTAGAAACATAGATCACAGAGAACAAGCATGTACTCGGCACACATAATTGCTGTACCCTGCTGCAGAAAGTCCACAGGCCATGTTGCAAAAAGTTTGACAGACATCGCGCTGCAATTTCTGGGTAGCTTTCGGCAAGTGGTGACACACCTCTTCAGCATTCAGTGCCATGGTGTTCTTGTTTCTGTCGCCTGAAAAAAGAAGCCTCTCAGAAGCTACCAGCAAAGTTGGCATGCTCAGACCCTTAATTAGATAAGAAGCCCTGCGCAACCCGTAAGAACCAGATGCGCCTTGAGCAGCTCGCCCGCTCCCTTCGCCTCGCCCAGGCCCTTCTCGGAGAGGTCGACGTCCACCCAGCCCGTGAAGATGTTGGCCACGTTCCATCTCAATGCTGAGAGATATGCAGAGAATGGGTTCAGGGGGGGTTGCGGTGCAGCTTCAAACTCAACTACTGGCAGCCGTGAGCACCACGTCCCCCCTAGTCATTCTTTTTCCGAAACAGAGATTCCTAAACCTTTCAGAAGCCTTCCTGTCTTCCACATTCCCACCGAAGCACATCCACCAAAGAACTATGTATAGGTGGAAGCGATGAGCTACCCGGGAACCACAAAGACATGTCGAGACATGTGGCTCGGACTCTCCGTGGCGTGAGAAAATCAGCGTGGCGTGCTTCGACATGGCAAAGAGGCTCTGGGAGGCCGAGGCGTGAAAAAGGTGTCGAGTCTAAGAGGCTGTTGGCCTCGAGCCGATGTGGCCAGCGTCAGTGCCCAGGCACAAGATCAACTCGCTTATCGTGCCAAGCGGCGAGGTGCAGAACCATAGTAACACGACATGCCCTGCTGAGGCAGCTATAGGTGCGATTGTCAAGGCTGCCAAGACGTGAGAATTTTGTTACATTTCGGGCAAGCATTGACCATTCGCAATGGCTTATACACCCAAGCTTGTGTAGGCATTCACGGCAAAACGCGCATTGACAGAGGCTGTCGTTTGGTTTCGGCACAGCGTTCATTTTGTTAGCGCATGCTGGAGGAATGATACAGACCACCATCGCCATCCTGACCAACGAGTTCGCGCAGTCCGTATGTCGACATGTAGGAGGCAGAAGCTTGGGGAGGTGTCTTGGATTCGTGCACACCGCCTTGTTTTGAGGCCTGGAGCTATTGAAATACGGACCCCAGGTCGGGGAGGACCTGTGGTGGTTGAAAAGGCACTCCCTTTCCTTCCCCCCCCCCCCCTTTCCTTTTTTTCTCTGCAGCACGATGGGAAATGGCCTCCGGGCTCGGTCGATGTCCGGGAGGTCCCACGGGCGCGTGAACCACTCGAGTAATTAGGGGATTGCTTACTTCAAACACGGGCTGCGACATCGCCCGAGCGTGGAGCAAAACCAGGTGTCAAATCAAGAGAGCGCTCTTGAACTGTTATCGCCACCTGTGAAGGTTGTGGAAAACGCAGTTCTCGCTCAGCAGCCATGACCTGCCAGAAAAGCGGCCTATGATGTTCCCATCGGATGGCAATGCGCAATGTAATCACTCAACCCTCCCACATCCAAATCTTCTATCCATCAGGACTGGGGTATTGGGATGTATTGGGTGACTGCACGTGGCCCGCATGACCTCATCGGGCCCGGGCCGGTATCCGCTGCCTGTTCAGCCGACCTGGCGTGCAAGGCAAGGTGCTTATGACAGCTTTGGCTTTGAAAGCCATGTGTGGGCCTTCGTCTGGTTCTTCACAGCCTCTGCAGCTGCCTTGATCTTCTCCTCAGAAAGCCAGAGACAAATGGCTCTGCCGGAGCCGAATGCAAAGGGAATGTTGACCAGCTCGCGGCTACACTGCGCTGCGACTCCAAGGCAACAGCAGCACCCCCAAGCTTGAAGCCCCCTTTCGTCACGAAGGGCCATGGCCCCTATAGCAAACGATGCGAGGCCCCGGAGAAGCCCTGGAAACACCTCCGCCCCTACGACCCTACGATGCAGAGCGATCCGTCCGCAGCCGCACCCAACGTACCACCCAAGACCCTCGGAGCCAAGCTGCTGCATCGCCGAGGTAGCGCCCGAACTTGAGCGGCTCCACGGCCAACGAGCTTGCGAGAGGCTTCAGGTCCTCAGCCACAAGAGGCTCCATGCAGCATGCATGGGCTGGGTCTTCATGCTTACTTCGGCGAAGTATACATCACCGCAGAGCCCCCCATGTTCTGAAGATCGAGTGGCAGCATCCAGCTCGTAAACAAGAGGCGTCCCAGTCCTTACACGGCTGGGAACCGCAGTGCCATTTGGACTGGCTCCCCAGAAGTGGCACCACCGGTGCAGGAGGCAAGGAGGCTTCCAGGTGGCTGCGAGTCAGGCTGGGACAAGTTTCCAACAAATCTTTTTCAACCCTTCAATGGATCGCAACCAAGTTAAGGACCCTCAAGATTTCTCAAGGGGCGCGAAACAACAACAAGAACTATGAGACAAACTGCTGTAGCCATGAACAAGTCCCCAAATGCCAAAGCCCTGAAGCTCTTGCACTTCCCAGGCTCGGAATCTCAAGGCCTGGGATCACATCATCGGAGAGGCCCTCAATCCTTCAGTGCAAAGCCACTCCCAGAATTCTGTCTCACGTCTAAAGGGCAGCATGTCACTCCACGATCGCCTAATCTCCCATACAAGGCCGCAGGCGCACTCTGTGCTTTCGGGCAAATACGGGGTGTTCAATCTTGGATTCTTGCAAGCGGTGAAGACGGTAGAGATACAAACTTCCCGTCTGAGAAGGCTCTTCCGAGAATGTCCGCCGCGCGACGCTGCTGGGCCAAGGTGCATCTTCACAATGGCCCGGATGGAGTTTCCATGGGCAGCTACAAAGACCGTCCTCGGAAGTGTGGAATCAGTGCCTCCTGGCTACAAAGATGCTACAGTACATCTGCATCGGACGCCAGTGGAGTCAAGGATCTTTCCCTGCTTCAAGGCCGGGGCAATGGTCTCCTCCCAGTATGGCATGACCTCCAGGGAAAGAGCGCATGGGATCAAGGTTGGTTCATCTTTCTTGCCACCCATCTAGCAGGGCTGGTTCATCTAAGACCTTCATTTCTCGAGTTCTCGACCGGATTGTGGACATGTGGGCATCCTGGAACTATACTCGTGTCTACCTTTCATAAGTGTAAGTACTGCGGCTTCTGTCAAAATACGTAACAAGCTTCGGCCCAAGCTGCTCGCGCGATGGTGTCCTTCAGGCACTCCGTGTCCGGAACATCCTGCAGACAACGCACGAAAGGCACGCGAGAGAACAGCTTATAGCATTCGGCGACCACTCGGTGCCTTGGGGTCCAAAGCTGCGTACTTGGCCTCATGGCACGGGTGGTACTTGTTCTCCTGCACACAGCCAACAACTGCAGAGAGTGTCGCGAGAAAGCTCTGGCACACTTCGGACACTTCAGTTTCGAGCAGCAAGGTACCGAGAAGAGTGCATGAACACTACAGGAGCCTTCTCCAGCACTGGTGGCGGAATGTCAAAGGACCGACGCCAGATCTGAACTTGCTCCGCCCCATGCTTCACGACCTGCAACTGCGTGACTTGTGCGCCGTCTCTTGCTTATCCCTCCAAAGCCCCCGGTGTGCACCAACATCTCATAGCTCAGCGCATGCTTGTTTGAGGGTCTATGAGCTCATCTTCATCCCTTGAGGCCAGCACCGTCTCCTTCTTGTCGAGTCCTTCGAAGCAGTTCCCAATCACCACACATTCAAGGCAAGCAGCAGTTGCGAAAAAGATGACTACATGCCCATGTAGGCCTGTAGGCCAAAGAGACCTATGTCAAAGAGACCCCAGTGACTCAGTGCTCCTGTGAGTCCGCCGTACATGCGCTCGTTCAGGCGCCAGGTCTTGCTCACAGGGACATAGAGTTGGTCGGCCGCCTTCCACTGGAGAAGGCCAGTGCCAGTGGTGCAGAAAGCTCACACACGCTCTCACAAAGCGCAAGAGCCCGGAGGGGTTGCTGTTCAAGGGAAGCTTGTTGAGGTTGAGGCAGAGTAGGGCGGATTCCGGATCAAGACTTTCTTGCATGCTTTTCAGCCGCAGGAACACAAAAAACTCAGCCAAGCACACCCTGTGTACAGCAGACAGCAGCCGCACATATACGACACAAACCTGAAATCTGCGAGGAAGCACCGCCAAAGCCCCCACAAAACTTTCTGCAAGAGACCTCCAAGGCGAGGTTGCACGTCTTGATGGCACCTTTCGTTGGCACAGGAGCCCCAGCAGCTCATGTGTTGAGGTTCCGCGGGTTCAGCTCATTCATCGGGTCTCACCTTTTTTAATTCGGGGATTTTGAGCTCGGTAGGTGTGGCTTCCACATCTGGGCACGCTGCTTGTTGCCGTGTCCCCGGGGCAAGGCAAGGAGCGAGCCAAAGCCCCATCCGAACCTCTGGACCCTCTGCACATCTCTGCACATAACACTCTTGAAGTCCTTACCCAGGCACGCTTGAGGTACGATGTGAACGCCAGGTCAATCTGCAGGCCCTCCGCCTTGACAAGAAGATTGAGGGTCATGGGACGGCGTGAAGCTTGCCAGGAAATCTCTGGGGAATTTTGTATTGTTGACGGTAGGAGGTACAACTGAGAAGTAGAAACACAGAACACAGAGAAGAAGCATGCACTCGGCACAGATGATTGCTATACCCTGCTAGAACTTGGGGTGCACTCAGCCAAGGGGACACTTGCAACAAGTGTCACACAAGAGAAGCCCCCTGAGGCGCCTTGAGCAGCTCGCCCGCTCCCTTCGCCTCGCCCAGGCCCTTCTCGGAGAGGTCGACGTCCACCCAGCCCGTGAAGATGTTGGCCACGTTCCATCTCAAGGCTGAGAGATATGCAAAGAATGGGTTCAGGGGGGTTTGCGGTGCAGCGATCAACTACTGGCAGCCGTGAGCACCACGTCCCCCCTGGTCATTCTTTTTCCGATACAGAGATTCCTAAACCTTTCAGCAGCCTTCCTGTCTTCCACATTCCCACCGAAGCACATCCACCAAAGAACTATACGTGGAAGCGATGAGCTGCCCAGGAATCACCAATTTAAGACATGTCGAGACATGTGGCTCGGACTCTCCGTGGCGTGAGAAAATCAGCGTGGCGTGCTTCGACATGGCAAAGAGGCTCTGGGAGGCCAAGGCGTGAAAAAGGTGTCGAGTCTAGAGGCTGAGTTGGAATCGAGCCGATGTGGCAGCGTCCCCAGGGGGCAAGATGAGCTCCGCCATTTCGTGCGCCAAACGTTGTTTTGCTACTACTGTATCTAATACATATGAAAACAAAATGCTAATTGCGGTCCCAAACGCAAGAAGGTTCATTCAAATTCATTCAACAGGCATCGTGCCTGTGATCTTGGCCAGTGAATTGACATAGCTTATAGGAACTTATTGGAACAACTTGTTAGCCCTAAACCTTATAGCTATCATGTGCATGGTTTACTAGTACATGTCCTTCTATACATTACGCAACAAGGCCTGCATAGCGACCCTGCGTGTCCTTGTAGGCCAAATGAAGGCGGGTATCGCGAGGAGACCGGGAGTCCAAACCTATGCGTCGACCTTCGGGCGCCACCCCTGACATCGAATCAAGCTACATAGGGCTGTACCTGATATAGGGTAATTCGATGCGTACAGGGCATCATTCGGGTTTAAATGGTTTATAGGGGTTTATAGAGGTTCCTAAGTGGACTCCCGGCCAAAGCTGAAAACCAATCGCCTATACCAGGAGCTCCAGGCTGCTGAGCCGAAATGTGCACTGAGTGTGGCAGCTTAAGCTATGCAAGACTAGACTCCCCTTAGAACCTTAATAAAACCATTACATGCATTCCCAAGGGGGATATAGAAGATGTTTGCCGTGTATGTGTGCTTCGTCGAGTACGACGCAGAAGCAGAAGCACGTCACAATCTTGTTGCTGTTGTTGTGTTTTGGACTGCCAACGAAATAGGCTATTTTCCAAAGTAGAATCAATGAATTTCTTCGATATCTCTTCGTCCTGCCTGGCAGAAGAAGCGGGTGGACTGCGCTGCGCGCGCATGGCCATTGTCGACCAGCGCTGGGGGAAGGAACTCGGATGGATAACCTGCACACAGGACGCTGCAGGCAAGCACCAATCCCGTGGCTAAGTAGGGTTTCGCAAGCCCACTTCCAAGCCGCCAAGCCAAACAGCCAACCCAGAAAATCCCAGCCTTCGGCTGGCACACCTCGGAGTCGCCAGCATTCAAACACAAGCGGAACAACGAAAGTTAAAAGCCGTCTGGTTTGGGGCAGAGATTGATACATCATTCACCTGAGATATCTTGAGATTGTTTTTCGGAACGATCGCTGCCTCACCATTCTCATGCACGAGACGTATGCTCACAACAGAAGGGCCCCGGAAGTCCGATTAGCATACGCTCTTGAGGACTCAAGGTTTCGGGTTTAGGGTTCGATATCAATTCTCAAGGCTGGATTCGGTGTAGCCCGCGCGATCCACTCACGCTCCCTCTCTCACTCACTCAGGGACATCCACATTGGCAGCCCGCAAGACATTCAACGACCTGACAACGGCCTGGTGCCTGAACCTGCATCCTTGAGGTGAAGCAAAGGCTGAATTCTGCCAGTGGGTTGAGCAAAAGTGTGTCTCTGAGCGTGCGGCTTCCCCGTCGAAGATTCCGCCTCCTGCGAGGGGGTGCAGCTCAGAACCCCATAAAAAGCACCCCCTTGCAAGGGCGCAATGAGAGGGGCAAGAGGGTATGGGGTTATGGCGGTCTTAGGGTGCCTGGGCGGAGACCCAAACAACCGTTATCTGCTAGAGCCCTTTTGCAAGTGGCACGCTGCTGTGGAGGCTCCACTTGTGCTTGCGCGAGCCGCAGAACTGGGCATAGTGTGACTACTGCTGCAAGCAGTGCTTCCCTGATGTGAGAAACCGAAGGTGAAGGTGAAGTATGGTGAAGGATTGGTGAAGGAGGTGGGGGTTCAATGTCGTTACACGTGTGGGAAGCTTGACAAAACCTGCAGCCTGCAGCTAGTTGCGCAAGAATCCTTGAAGCCACAGCGCGAATGCTTCATGTTGGACGGATGAAAGGCGCAGCAACTACTTGTCTCTGAAGTGCACCCGGAGGCAGCTCTCCTCGCTTGCTTCCAATCCCCCAGCACGGTTGGAGTACCTCCCAGGTGCACAAAAACCTAGCCCTCAAAAACTATACCAGCTCCCCAAAATATCCATCCATCCTGTGATCAAAGATGGACTCTTCAAGCAGAAGAGTTAACATGTACGGAGGGGCTCACAGCCCCAAGCTTGTCAGCGGCACCGCTCTCCTTTCCTTTGTTTACGAGTTTCTGTCTGCCATCTACTCATCCACGACCCTCCTAGTGGAGAACCCTACATCCTAGCACCCTCTATAGGCCCTATCTAGACAAAAGGAGGGCACCGCCTGGCAGGCCATCCACTCCAGCAGCCTCCTCATTGCAAAGTAGGCAAAGAGGGAGTTGGCAGGGGATGAAGGGTGGCAGACTCTGTGAGCATCTACATCTGACCTCTCTTAGGAGTCCTGGAAGCTGCCTGCAGCAAGAGTCTTCTGATACCCCCCATACACGCCTCGCTTCCAACCCATACACGCCTCACTTCCACGTATGTAGTATTCAGTAGCATGGGCCTAGTCTAGGGCATAAGGTGTGGGGCATGATTTGTTTTTCATGCCTGGGAACTAATTATGCAACGTCGCAAGGATGTCCCCCGGCCCTGTCAACCTACACGGTGTACGGGTAACTTCTGTGTCGTCCGGAGCTAAAGACTTAAGACGCCACACTGCCCGGCATATGCAATGCCGCCCGCATCACAGGCTGCTTCTCCCACTCCTCGCTGAGGGGATTTTCGTTGCTGCCACGGTTGGCTGCCAGCTTCGCCTTAACACGGCTCCACACAAGGGTTGGAAAAGATGTCCTCTTAAGTAGATGCATTGCGATGGTTTGCTTTGCTAACTTGAGACGGCCACCCCGAGGCACACAGGTCTACCAAAGCCCAGCGCCAGACACTTAGCACATCTCCTAGAACGAGCATCAAACCACACAGCATTACTTCGCTCAACCGCCGGAAAAACGATCTTTGATCAAACCTGAACCCCAACAACAGCAAAGAGACTGCGTAGAGGTGGCGCAACCACTCCTCGGATCAGGCTGCAGCACGAGCCCCCGAACTGCCGGCACAGTTTCAACTCAGATGCTCTCCCAAGGATCCTTCAACTAGGCTGCTAGGCCGTGGGTAAGGCCACAGGCGCCACAGGGTGAATGTGCAAAAAATCAAAGATGTTGGAAACGCCGACAAATGAAAGGCTCTTGCTGTCTCTGGCAAACAGACACATCGGCCCGATTGTCGAGAGCTAAGGTGCCCTTTACGGTCAGAGATACGTATATATATATATATACACATAGCCTCAAGTCCCCATGCTCTGCACACCAACCACTTCGCGGAGTGCAGTCAGATTGGCATCATCCGGGTGGAGCACCAAGCCTTTCAGCAGCGCTATCTCCTGCGACATGGTGGTGGCAACAAGTCCGGTTGGCAGGGGCAAAGCAGACTTGCAGATCCCCATACTAGTCTGAGTGCCCCAAAAAACAACAATCGAACAGCTGCAGCCCGAAATGGCTGGGGAGTCGAATCACTTCTATTATCTCCGGGCCCCTGTTTTCCCTCCCAAGTTTCCTCAAACTCGTGGATACTTACATATCAAGACACGCCGCCCCAATCCCCCCCCCTCCCCCTCTTTTTGAACCTGCGCTATGCAACTGCCTGAAAAAGCAAAAGAAAACTTCACTTTGACGTTCGCATCTCGGAGTGCTTTTTTTCTTCGAGGCGGGTACCAAGCCTGCTCCAAGGGCAGGAGCTGGCTCCCGACCTCAGTCTCGATTTGATCGGTCCCACAAAACTCTCCGGGGTTCTGCCTTTTTTTGAGGGGCATGAAGTGGGACACGAAGTTGTGCAAATTGCAACGTGACCATTGCAAATCCTGGGCAACCCCAAGCTGCTGAACCTGATTTCGATTGAACTCTGCTGCGTCGTCGCAGCTTCTGAGTCTGAGGCGCAGCATCCTGAATCTGTCCGAACTACCTTTTGAGTCGATGAGTGGCTAGTCTCTGCAGGAAAGGCACCACGGGAACACATTCTTGGAGACAGAAGCTGAAGCCAAAGTTCCCACAAAAATCGGGTGTTGCTCTAAGGCTCTAAGGCTGGTTCCAGACGGTCCAGGGCTTCATGGCAGTAACCGTCCAGCTGCACGGCTCGCTGATACCACCTGAGACGGCTACTTAAGGCTGAGTCGCATCACTTAAACCCGTATTTCCAGAGCGACACAGGTCTGGCCAGTTTGAAAGATACAACAGACCAGTAGACAACATGAGTCAGGAAGTCAGCCCTAAACCCGGCCGCGCACTTTCTGAGACCGTACCACCAGCTTGAACCGAAGGCATGCCTTCCAAGCCAACACTCGCAATCAGGGACGACCAGCAGCCGACAGCCACAATAACTGCCAGGAACGCACTAATATCCCGGCTGGGGTAGAAGCCTCGTATCAGTAAGGTCAGAAACCTCCCAGGGCTACAGCTGATGTTAACCAAATACACCTCTCTGCAGAGGGAACATGTGCAGCCAAGAGGCATCAGCGCATTCTCCTGCTCGGGAGAGACAGGTTCACAGAGTATTGGGCGCTTGAAGCTCACACAGCGAGCTATCTTCAAGCAGCGAACCATTGGCCTAAGTGAAAGGCACCACTCAAAGCCTACAAGCTGCCTACAAGTCAGCGTGGGCATGAACGTGTCCAGATTTTCCATGGCTTCGTAAACCTTGCCGCGCAGAAGGGCAAAGCAAGAAGCCGTCTTCCTGAGATCCACTGTGATGCAAGTCCCGCTTGAAGGCTGCTGAGGGTCATCACACCGTTGGCTTGAGGATTGTTCCCAAACTGTTCATCAGTGACTGTGTCCAGTTCAGGCTCGAGACCAACATTTCGCCGACTTGCCTGCTACATATTACGCATCGTATATTGTTGTATGCCTCGTCTCCTCTTCTGCACAACCCTAAACCCTAAGCCCTAAACCCTTCAAAACGGCCCAACTGCTGACTTCGGGTCGGATCGGATGCTCCGTT